TGCTACGAGCAGAGACTGTTTAATGTATCGGACGTTCTCCCTCTCTCTGTGTGTAAATCTGCTACCTGCCTGATTTAATAAGCAAACCATCCCTCCACTTGGTCGCGCAACTCTCTGTCCTTGCAAGATCCTGAAAATAGAACATTGGCACAACAGCTATAACTATCGCGAGGCTTCTTCCTTGTGCACCTTTTTTTCACTTGGCCGATGCGTAAGGTTGTGAGCAGTTTACATAGCCTTCGCGGTTGTAGGCGAGTTCTAACGCGGCGCTTGCCTAGGCCGCACTGCTGTCTGGTAAACACTCACACTTATCATGACAATGTGGGGGCGGAATTAATCTACTTTTTGGGCGCCTTGGAGGCGTACAGAGTGTTTTTTTTTAACCTGGCTGGAACGCCGGGGTGGGCCAGTCAGGGCGAGGGTGGGCGGTGGTTTTCGTCAAATCAGATGAACTACAGTATCCAGAACCCTGTGTCTTCTAAGTCACAGCACCCACAGAATCCTTCAGACCTGTACAAAGTCGCCGGTTTTCTGTACATATCATCGGATGTTTCCACGTTTTATTTGTGAAATTCGCAGTTTTAGAAAACTGCCCGTTCGATCATCAGCCTTCACATAGGTGTGACGCAAACTTTTTGAAAATCGCCACTTTTAAGAGCTACCTCTGACAAGGATGCCTGAGCCCCAGTCATTGGGAACGGTCTCATCTCGCCATGCCTGTACAGTCACCTCGTGAAGCCGAGGAGCCAGGGTGTTGATACAGAACTTGTAGACTTCTGCGGGAATACCTTCCTCTCCGCACGCCTTGTTGTTGCGTAGCCTCTGCATTGCATCGGCAACTTCATCTTCGGAAGGGAGGTCACACGACACTGCGTAAGCTGGAGAGGTTTGAAACTCCGCTGTGGAAGAGAGCGAGGGTGTGATGGGTTCTTCATCAAAGTGAAGGAAGCGCTCGAAGTGTTCCCGCCAGTGATCGACTTTGGCCTAGTTGTCAGCAGTAGAGCCGCCATTCACATCGCGAGCAGAATCACAGAGTGTCGGGGCCTTACCACTAACTTGGCGGATGAATTGGTACAACTTTCGTGTGTCACTAACATTTGAAGCCTGCTCCCTAGAAGTTGGCGTTTCGGACCAATACTTCTGTCGGTCATCTCTAGCCGACTTTAATGCCTCCTTGTCTTCCTTCTCCGATCTGTCACACAGCCATTCAGTTTGACTTTAGGGATTTCGGTCAACTGAGGTGTCTTCTTGTGTGAGTATCTCATTTGCCTGCGACACTACAGACTGTAGACCACCAACGCTTGAGGCTAGCAGCATAATAACATCGGCGTAGTCGAGATCAGTTAGCCGGCGTCTGGGCGCAAACTCAATACTGTCCTCTTCATGTAGGGCCTTCCCTAGAATCCAGTCAATGATGTAGTTAAACAGAATGGGCTACAGGTATCGGACCTCTCGGCCACCGGACTGGATATCGAACGGTTGAGAGAGATTCCTGTGGACCAGAACTCGTGCGGCGGTGGACCGATAGTAGGTCTTTATCATGGCCTGTTGGGCTCTCCTCGCCTTCGGTTTCCGATCTGTCACACAGCTAGTCAGTTTGTCTTTAGGAATTTCGCTCGTGTGAGTACCTGCGTTCTGCTGCTACTGTGTCAACAAAGTTCGACTTCTTCTTCTTCTCCTTCACCTTTTACGTTGTCTCTTGGTCGTGCTCTTCTTT